TTACAAAAACTTTAATGAAAATTCTTAGTTGAAAAAGGGGCATTATTCTGTCAAAATGCTTGATACAGTTTACAGTTACTTCCTCCTGTCTACAGGTTAGGGTCATGATGCAAAAGTTTCAAAGCCATATGTCAATGGACTTTGAAAATATTAGAGGTATTACAAAAACTTTAACGTAAATTCTAAGTTGAAAAAGGGGCATAATTCTGTCAAAATGCTTGATACAGTTACCTCCTCCTGTCTACAGGTTGGGGTCATGATGGTGAACAAGTGTGCAAAGTTTCAAAGCCATATGTAAATGGACTTTGAAAATATTTGAGGTATTATAAAAACTTTAACATAAGTGCCGACGCTCGGGTGACTACAATAGCTCTACTTATTCTTATACCCCGGTCACATATTCACGGAATACGCCCACAGAAGAGCCACGGATTAATTCCGGCATCCCGTACTGGTCAGTAGCTCTCCGTATTGTAACCGTAATCAATCGTAGTAGTCCTTGTATGTCCGTAGCGATCCTTGACAATTTTTGAACATGCACAAAAATTTGCTACGGAAAAATCAACCGTAGCGTATCCCTACTAGTCCGTATTAATCCGTACTGATACGTACGAAAACCGTACTAGTTCGTACTGATTCGTAGTCCACAAATTTGTCAAGGATTTCCGGATTAATACGGCATTGTCACGGAAAGCCACGATCGTAATACGTTGTACTACGGCGAGGCAAGGGTTAGCACGGTCTTAAACGGTTTATTGCATTGCAACACGAAACGGTACGGAATGGTACGGCCCACCACTGTTAAGTACGGATGAATTAGGTATCATGCACTTTTTCAAGGGTATAAATACTACCTTCTAGTTAAAAACAGACATATTTGTGGGAACATTTAATAAATGATAATTGTCATTTACTGGCTGCAACTTTATATTGAAATGGCTCAGAATGCGGAGGCAGTGGTCGAGCTGCTTGATGACATGCATAGAAGTAAATTTATATTAATATCGTACTACAATTCATAAGTAATAGAATAACATTTAATATTACATATTTTACAAACATTGGATCGTGAAATTGGAGTAAATATGTACATAAAACGAAGTGTCTCATAAGCCTCGGACGCTGGCCCTTGAGTGAAAATAAGATTAATTTACAAGCTTTATACATATTTTGAAAACATAAAAATTCAAGATAATTAATGTAATTGTAAAATGAACAGCAAATTTTAAAATTAAAAGAGAAGCAGTATTGATCAACATTTTTCATTAATGATTACTACATCTAATCGGGTAAGAGAAGACAGACGTGATGGTGGACTAAGAATGGGCCTTTACGAAGACCGCTTCATGTTTAGTATGAGGCTCTCATGGCCGAACTTGTTGAGGATCTAGCGTCCTTCAAGAAATTCACTTTAAATGGACCTGGTGTGTCTCGGGGGTCGGACGCGATTAGACTGAATCCTCTCCGGCAAAATCATTGAACTCTGCAATTGTTTTTTTAGGTGTTCTTTTCTTTTGAGCCATTTTGAAAATGAGCAAGCAAGAGGTTGTGGACGGACGTATTAGGTCCGTATAGATCCGTGGCAATTCGTTCTTCTCCGTATCAATACGTTCTTTTCCGTATCAGACCGTACTTATTCGTACAAACTTGTGCTTATATGCGTAGCAGACCGTAGTGTATCGGTAGTGCATCCGTCCTGATTCGTGTCGCTCCGTATCCAACCGTGTAAGTCCCTAACAATCTGTGTCTCTCCGGGGGCTTTTGGTGGTAAATCCGTCGGACTCCGTACTCATACCATTGTGTGTCCGTACTGGAACCGTAGCGGACTACGGAATTTCATATTTCCATAGTAATCTGTGGACGATTAGACCGTAGGTCTTCCATGGCATTATCCGTGAATATGTGATCGGGGCATTATCGAATAGTCGAGCTAAAACAAGAGGGCCATGATGGCCCTAGATCGCTCACCTGACTTATCAAACTCATCCAAACAATTACCTAGACAAGCATTCTGACCAAGTCTCATGACAGGTGAGTCAAAAATGTGACCACTACAGTGTTAACAAGGATTATCCATATTTGAGCAGTGCGACCTAGTTTTTTACCCAGGTGACACATATTCAAACTTGACCTAGAAATCATCAAAACAAACTTTCAGACCAATTTCCAGGACACTTGGATCAAAACAGTAGCAACTAGTGTTAACAAAATTTTTCTATTTTTAGCTCCGGTGACCTAGTTTCACATGCGATTTCGAACTCATCCAAGCAATTACCTAGACAAGCATCCTGACCAAGTTTGATGATAATTGAGTCGAAAATTTGACCACTAGAATGTTAACAAGGTTTTTCCATATTTGGGCGGTGTGACCTAGTTTTTCATCCAAGATGACCCATGTTCGATCTTGACTTAGAAATCATCAAAACAAACTTTCAGACCAATTAACAGAATATTTGGATCACAACAGTAGCCACTAGAGTGTTAACAAGATTTTTCTATTTTTAGCTCCTGTGACCTAGTTTTTCATCCGAGATGTCCCATGTTCGATTTATTCCCAGCAATGACCTAGACAAGTTTCCTGACCAAGTTTGATGACAAAAATTGAGTCAAAATTGTGACCACTAGAGTGTTAACAAGGTTTTTCTATTTTTAGCTCCTGTGACCTAGTTTTTCATCCGAGATGACCCATGTTCGAACTCATTCAAGCAATTGACTGGACAAGCATTCTGACCAAGTTTGATGATGATTGGTTCAAAAATGTGACCACTAGAGTGTTCACAAGGTTTTTCTATTTATAGCTCCTGTGACCTACTTTTTCATCCGAGATGACCCATGTTCAAACTCATTCAAGCTATCAACTAGATAAGCATCCTGACCAAGTTTGATGATGATTGATGCAAAAATGTGACCGCTAGAGTGTTAACAAGGTTTTTCTATTTATAGCTCCGGTGACCTAGTTTTTCATCCGAGATGACCCATATTCGAACTCATCCGAGCTATTATCTAAACAAGCATCCTGACAAAGTTTGATGATGATTGGGTCAAAAATGTGACCACTAGAGTGTTTACAAGGTTTTTCTATTTTTAGCTCCTGTGACCTAGTTTTTCATCAGAGATGACCCATGTTCGAACTCATCCAAGCAATTGACTAGACAAGCATTCTGACCAAGTTTGATGATGATTGGTTCAAAAATATGACCACTAGAGTGTTCACAAGGTTTTTCTATTTATAGCTCCTGTGACCTACTTTTTCATCCGAGATGACCCATGTTCGAACTTATCCGAGCTATCACCTAAACAAACATCCTGACCAAGTTTGATGATGATTGGGTCAAAAATGTGACCTCTAGAGTGTTCACAAGGTTTTTCTATTTTTAGCTGACTTGTGACCTAGTTTTTCATCCGAGATGACCCATGTTCGAACTCATCCGAGCTTTCAACTAGATAAGCATCCTGACCAAGTTTGATGATGATTGAGGCAAAAATGCGACCGCTAGAGTGTTCACAAGCAATTATGGACGTACGACGGACATTCACCAATCCTAAAAGCTCACCCTGAGCAAGCTCAGCTGAGCTAAAAAAGTATTGACCTTGAAGGTCAAGGTCATTTATGAATGAAGTTCAAGTTTAGTCTAGTCTACTTGAAGTTTTTGCCCCAAGGGTGGTTGTGGCCACGCATGAAGGCAATATACCAAGAAGTTAAAAAGTTATAATCAAGGGAAGGCAAAGCTGACATGACTCTTAACAATACTTCTATTTTTGTTCTTTGAAAAAAGTTGAGCTTAAAACAGTGGATACAGCTGTATTATATCCACAAAACTTCATAAAAATTCTGGTCTGCTTTGAGTTGCAAGTTCACTATTACTTAAGTTTTACAAAATAGTTGTGCTAGCAACATATACTGAATGAAGCGGAATATTTTGGAGCGTGTTTATATATCTGCAGACATTTTCACAAAAAATCTTCCGACAATTTTTTATCGTAAGAGAAATCTTACGATAAATCTCCTTTTCACAAAAAATCTTAAGAAAATCTTAAGTGCAAAATCTGTCGTAACTTTACGATAGGTCTTCCCCGTTCGTAAGTGTATTTTTTTTCTCTCTTAAGGGTAAAATATCATGTATCTCTTACCTAAACTGAATAAAAACAAACAAAAAGTTGGGAGGACAAATATATATTAAGCAAACAGTAGATAAAATATGCTATAAATTACACAAATTGAGGTATAATTATTTTTCAACATAAACATTTGTGACGTCATGACTTGATGACGTCACGATGGAGAGGGTTATGAATAGTTTAAATGTGAACTATACTGTAGTATTATTGAAAACTAATAACTTGTACATGTGGTGAGTTCGAGTTCATTGCCAGCATGTACTAGTGGTACCTTTTTATTTATTAATAACATAGTAGACCTTCTTTCTGAATCTTTTAGATATATATAATTATCTTCAATCAAGATATAAATTATATCAGTTTGAATCATTTTTTGTTCTTATTGAAATTTGATTGTGTTCAATACTTATTTCAAGCTCTTTATTACTTGATTTTAAAATCAGAATCAAATATAGAGCCTGTACATCAATATCAAATGAACGTTGCTAGGGATGTTTTTATCTTAAGATAAAATTTTAACTTACGAGTGGCTTTGTGAAAATGACTTAAGATTTAACTTACGATTATCGTAAGTCAAAAACTTAAGATAAATCGTAAGTTTTTTTGTGAAAATGTCTGCAGGTCTTAAGTCATTTCCAACAAAAAGAGTATTGTTATAAACAAAAATATACCTTTTTCATTCCAAGATGGCCGCATTTGTTTACAACCTGTAGGTACAATTCCCAGCTCTGTTAACTATTTAATTTCAGGATAAATTCAATATTTGGCCCTGCATGCTCCATTAGCAGAGGGACCACCTATATAACATGTTAACCAAGAAACATAGAAAACAAGTATGCAGATACTAAATATATCAATTCAAATACAAAATATATACATACCAACAAGAACCTTCTGTCCATCAACTTCTGTCTTATAGTTGAAAAGTGTCAGAGCAAATGTTGATAATTGTTGTGGTTTACTGATATTTTGGTTAAGAACATGAAAATCACATACAGATGAAATTTTCTTTAAGAAACACTAACACTATTTAAAAAAATATGGATCTTTTCAAGCTTTATTTTGCCAAACAGATAAAGGAAAACCAAAGTGTCCCTCAACATATTATATCTTGCAAATGGTGGAACATTAGTAGAATTTAAGCTAGAAGCAGCTTGATAGCTTTTCACAGTTCAACATCCCGAACTCACATTTAAAAGTGACAAGAACTTAAACTTTAGCTACTTGAATCACTGCTATAAACTTATAGACATGTTCCACAAAATTTTATAACATTGGCAAACAAATACAGTGATAAATATTGTAAATCAATTAAACTTAACAGTTAGAAAAAAAGATATCATTCATTGAAATTTATAACAAACCTTTACTACAATGTATCTTGATGTGTGGATTTAAGATTCAATGTTCTTTATCTTAATGGTTCTATTCCACCTTAAAAAAGTTCCATCCACAAAATTTAGATATAATATAAAACAATACAAAATTTATGTTTAAAACTTTAAACCATTGATTAATTGTAAACAAATCTTGTTCAGTCAGTAGAGAAAGCATCAAATTTGTAACCAATGGTTTGTTGGTTCAATCCTCCAACAAATACAACTGCTCTCTTACATTGGGACTATATATCGGTCTCTCACTGCTGATTCAGAAATTTTGTAACACTAGTAATCTGTCACTTGCAGAGAAATTGGTAATTACTAGAGAGTTAGTATCTAATTACTAATAGATGGTATCAAATACCCAGATATGAACAAAAGTGTGCTTAAGTTGGCATAAAATCAAATAAACAAAAGTAAGTAACACCTTAAAGGATACTATCCATCCATCAGAAATCTTTCAACCAGCCTGAAAAGTAAAACACTATTATAATGAATGGGTCAAATCTAATCTGTAATGCTGCAAAATATTATATATGCAAATAAGATACCATTACATGCAAGAAACTTTGAGACCATTACACTTTTATCATTTATATGTACAATTATATCAAAATAAAGGAATATTAAAGAAATAACAAGAGCCACCACCACTAGCTGGGACCACACTCTACGTTTTTCTTATCTATAAAGTTGAACACATCAGAGTATAAGAACATTATAGTAAGGACTACTCCTACTAAACATTTATTTTGTAACAATTATTTAAAATTCAAATGTCATACTTATCTTGAAGGTCAAGCTAGGGCATTCAAAAGTCAAGGTCACATAAAGTGCTCTTTTGCCCAAAAATGAATTCGGAAATAAATCCATTCATAAACAAGACCACCACAAAGGCAGTCTAATTATAATAAATGTAAATTCATTTGAATAATCAAAATAAATCTTTTAATAGGGTTAAATAGAAACTTGTCTGAAAAATGTTTTATTTCAATTATCCTGATGATAATATATTTATGACCTCTAAGGTGGGGGCATTTTTAACCCTAGGTACAGTATTCATAAGAGGTTTATTAGGTAATGCTACATGTATATGCCAAAGGCATAGTATTTATTCACAAAGCTAGAAATGTGTTGTCATGCCCCCGCATGCAGCCAAAATTTCAGATGTTAAAATATTTAGTTCCAAATTTGTTTGCGCAAATTTTTTTTTTTCATTTTAAGTTCAAAGCCCTTAAAACTATTCAATGTTATCACACCATTTTTATACAAAGTTCAAGGCACTGAAACTATTCAGTGTTAAGCTTTTGTAAATTGCAAATTGCATATTTGTAGCTAAAATTATGGCTACATACATTTCCACAAAAGTATGAGTGCTGAAACTGAAAAATCAAAATTTTTCCATCATTCAAGAACGATAACTTTGTTCAAAATCATTTAACCAGGACCAAATTCCAACTTGAACTGCTTATTTCTAAGATGTATCTATATGTCAAATTTGAGTTGATTGTGTACAACCATTGGGGAGATAATGAACAGAAACTTAAAATTTCTGATTTTTTTTCAAAGTTCAAGAGGGATAACTCTGTCAGCTTTCATCAAACCATGACCAAATTTGAAATAGACCAATGCATTCTTATGACATATCCATATCTTTAATTTGAGTTGAATATGTACAACTGTTGGGGGAAAATGAATGGGAACTGAAAATTTCCTTTTATTTCAAAGTTAAAGGGGCATAACTCTGCCAAAAATCATCAAACCATGACAAAATTCAAACTTGGCCTGCGCATTCCTTTGACATATTCATATGTCAAATTTGAGTTGAATGTGTAATACTGTTGGGGAGATAATGAACGGAAACTGAAAATTTCATATTATTTTCAAAGTGAAAGGGGCATAACTCTGCCAAAAATCATTGAACCATGACCAAATTCGAACTTGACCTGCATTCCTTTGACATATCCATATCATGTTTGAGTTGAATGTGTAATACCGTTGGGGAGATAATGAAGGGAAACTGAAAATTTCATATTATTTTCAAAGCATAATAATTCTCTGCCAAAAATCATAGAACCATGAATAAATTCTGTCTTGACCTGCGCATTCCTTTGACGTATTCATATTTTATAAAGGCCCTTGGGGCGGGCTTATTTTAACTTGGGTGCTTTTTTTTAACCAACTTGGTAGACACTCACTAGATGTTTCATGCTTAATATCTAAGCTATAGCTCTATGGTTTATTTAAAAGAAGATTTTTTAAGTTTTTACTATAGACATATAAGGAAAATCAGTGCCGTCGGGGCGGGGTCAATTTTGATCCCAGGGCTTTTATTTGAACAAACTTGGTAGACACTCAACAAACAATGTTTCATGCCAAATATTTAAGCTCTAGCTCTTTCGATTTTTTAAAAGAAGACTTTTTAAGTTTTTACTATGTTACATATTAGGAAAAGCAATGACCCCCTGGGGTGGGGCCAATTTTAACCCTAGGGCTTTTATTTGAACAAACTTGATAGAAACTCACTAGAAAATATTTTATGCCAAATATCTAAGCTCTATCTGTTTGGGTTTTTTTAAAATAAGATATTTTTTTCTTTCGGTTGCCATGGTAACCAGAGTTCTGCATGAAATTAAATTCTTTGAAATTTTTTTAAAGGTGACCATCAATGGACCATTTCTGTGAAGTTGGATGAAATTGGCTTAGTGGTTTATGAGGAGATGTCGTTTAAAGTAAAAGTTTACGGATGCCAGACGGACAGACGCCGGATGAAAAGTGATCACAAAAGCTCACCATGTCACTTTGTGACTATTGAGCTAAAAAGTTAAAAACAGGCTGGAAAAGTTGTGTGAGACATGTTCGATGCAACCTATGGATGCACTAAACTGCTCTGTGGTAGCAGTCTGTGCGAAAGTCTGTCGGTCCTCCGACTTCGCCAACTAAAAATCAGGAGGGCCGAGATAAATTTCGATACAGTCAGTCCTCATGTCCGAATAAAATTTCAGCCAGTTTGAAACAATTTTTGGCCTTCTAAATATGCAAAACTTCCAAGATCAATCTTTTTTTTTTCATTTTTGCTTGTATTCACAGACCCAGATAACCAAAATCACCGCAAGATACAACCAGTTTTTGCTAAGTAATGTAAGCCACCATCTTGTCTTGGATAATTTCCTTACCAAAACATATTTTTTCTCCAATCTTCAAAATTAAACCTTTGAAAGATGTATCGTTTTCTTGTGAATTATGCTAATGTTTTATTTATTATGTTTCTGTATATTTTTTTCATAGTATCTTATAGTTGAGTCTGATAATTCATATTTGCTAAATATTTTTGTTTATAATTATGGCAATATCCCTCCCCCACCCCTACAAAAATATACCTTTCAGAGTTTGGGCCGGGAAAAAATCATCAGGGCCGGCAATAAATCTAAAGATCCCAGTCCTTGTGGCTGGAAATTTTTTTGACTTTGGCATTGACTGTGGTAGGGAGTAGGGCTACTGCAGGGTGTAGGTGGTTCTAGTGGTATACAGCCCTAGGACAGAATGAGAATTTATATTGGTCTGAAGTTGCTGTGAAAAACTTATAACATAAGGGATGGCCATGGTGTGATGTTCGAAAGAAGGGTGTCAAATATTCTTCTATGGGGATACCAACCAGACCATGGTGAATGTTATAGACAAGAGCACCGCTAGGCGGAGCATTATATAGCGGAAATGTGTTAGTCTTGAATGAATAATAAAAAAAAAATTTTGACTTCTGTAAAACAGCCATCTTTCATTGTACAATTTATGAAGGAAATACAATGTACAGTAAAAACCCTCAATTAAGACCACCATCGGGACTGGACCAAAGTGGTCTTAATTGCGGGGTGGTCTTAATTGTGAATATTCTTATTGCTTACACACTTTATGACCATGGTCTATTTTAGTCATTTTGTATGAACAAACATTATATAATACAATAAAGTCTGTTATAATGTTACATCTGATGGGAAGATAATATGTTTCTGAAGAAATTTAATATCAAATTTTATTTGATCTGATTTCAATATCAATTATTATATGATGTACATAATACACCCATCAAATAAGAAATGAATTCATAGCAAAATCATTGGCTTAAAGGAACATTAAACCACTCTAAAATTTACTTTCTCACCTTATTCCATACAATATCCCAATAATATAAGGTGTTTTTGACATCTTATGAAATGAAGTGTCATGCCTAAGAGCTTTTAAGCAGATAATAACAACATAACAACATTTTATTGAAGATCTAGGTAGGTGTTGACTTTAAAATAGTGGGGTCAAATAAAGAACAAAATAAAGAATTGGGACTTAATCTGGTGGTCTTAAAAGTGGATAAGCGAGGTGGTCTTAATTCTGGATCATGTAACCATTGACATAAAGAACAGAAAATTCCGTTCTTATAAAAATTGGTCTTAATAGCGGGGTGGTCTTAATTCCGGGGTGGTCTTAAGGAGGGATTCTACTGTATACATAAATCTAAGAAATTAATACATAAACACATTAAAATAAAGTATTATCGCCTTCAAAAAGCAATCCTCCTTTATAGCTGAAGAACCTTTATATATATATATACAGTTGCTGTTTCCAAAGCACCACCATCAAGTTGTTATAAGTAAAAATGCTACGACGGATGGATGGACAGACGTCAGGGGCAGGGACTACCTTGGACTGAAAATTAAGGGAGAAGTGACTTCTCCCTTCAGGAAAAATAGGGAGAAGTTTTGAAATTTAGGGAGAAGTGATCATCAAATCTAGTTATATCATTGGATTTTTGCCTAATTTTATTTCACAAAATATACATGTACACAGGGCTCTACAAATACGATAGTCCGACGTCCGGGACAAGTCTAAAACCACTTTCGGACAACTGACAATATGCAGGAACTTTGTCCCGGACAAGTCTAATTTTTACAGATGCTTATCTCGGACAAGTGTCTAATTATTTCATTACACACACAATAAACAATTCAAAGGGCACATGCTGCGTCTGTAACTGGCACTCGATAAATCCGTACGCTCCGCCCTCGTATGTAAATAAGGAAAATCGATCGGCAATTTTAGCCAACCTTGACTCGCGTTATTTACTTGCTGACCAATGAAAATGCAAGTTGTAAATGCGTATCGGCAGGTGACTAATTGAAGCGCCCGGATTAAAGATATCGGCCGTCAATTTCAGAATTAATTGTTCGACTTCTAATTTGCATATCGATTGATTTAAGTGCAATCAGAGTTAGTAGTAAAAACAGTAAGACCGTAAGTACAGTTATTAATTTGATTTCACACCTTTTGTTCACATATCATTGCTGTCGCCTCTCTAATTGTCTACAAATCATGATGCTGTTAATTGTCAAACTTTTTCACAGGTATTGTCAAACTGCCAATGGAATTAACAATATGTTTTACGTATTTAAATGATCTTAAATATTAATTTTTTATCAGTACAGACCTGTTAGCTAACGTATGTTGACTGCGTTGTATTACAATGAGCTTGTTTAATTTTTTTAAGGTCAAGGATAAAAATCCGGAAAAACAAAGTGAAACTGAAAGTAGAAAACGTAAACATGAGGACATTAATGTAGATGATGGTCAAAAAAACAAAAAACAGTGTCAAGAAAGTTATTCTAAGAAAGACAAAAAGTATGACGCAACAAGAGAAAGAAAATTCATTGGAACATGGCTTGATGATTTTGACAGGCTTCAATATGAGAAGGATGAAAACCTCATGTTTTGTAAATATTGTAGAAAGTATCCGAAGCAAGCCGCCACTAAATTAAATCAAACATGTGTATTTGTTGAGGGCTCAAGAAACTTTAGATTAGAACCAATTCGTTCTCATAACAAAAGCACTGCTCACAAAAATTGTGCAAATCAGTTTCTTCGGGATGAGGAAAAGTCTTCATTAGATGTACCCACCAAAAAAGCTCCGGAAATTAGGAACACAGATATTGGGAAAGCTCTACATAAATTGGGAGAAAAAGAATGTCAACGTATGAAGTTTGTTTTCAATTGTGCCTACTCCCTAGCCTATCACAACAAACCCTTCACTGATATGAAAATGATGTGCACACTTATGAAAAAAAATAGTGTAGACCTTCCTGACAATTATGACAATGATGTGAGAGCCCGTGAATTTGCTTATTCTATAGCTGAGTGTATTCAACTTGATGCTGTCAATGACATTCTAAATAGCCCTTATGTCTCCATTCTAGCTGATGGCAGCACAGATGTTTCATTTAGGGAACAAGAAATTGTGTATTTAAGGTACCTAAGTGATGGAGAAGTTAAAACAAGATTCATTTCACTGGAAAAGCTTAAATCTTCAGATGCCAAGGGTGTAAAAGAAGGAATTGACTCTGGACTTTCACGCTTTGGAATAGAATTCTCAGATCTTACAGATACTGGGAACGGAAAACCTACACTGGTGTGCGCTAACTTTGATGGTGCTAGTGTTATGCAGGGACTGAAAACTGGGACAATGTCAATGATATTGAAAGATGCTCCTTGGGTGTTTCCTATGCACTGTGTTGCCCATAAACTTGAACTGGCCGCTCTAGATAGTGTACGAACAGATTCTTACTTGAGAAAGTTTGAAGACATTGTAAAAGGAATATACATGTTTTACCACTTCAGTCCTAAGCGAAGACGAGAGGTCAAAGAAGTAGCAGAATTCCTTGGAAGTGAATTGGTGCACATGAGTGGTATCAAACAGGTAAATTTGAAACATTGCTTATTTTTATGATACTTTCCCCTTGATAGAAATTATTGAAGAAATGTAGCACATGTATAACAAATTACTTATGATATAAATATATCACTTAAAAATATTATTTTATCAAACCTGTCACTAACAGTAAATGTTCTTGGTACACTGTTCTTGGTACATGTTACAACTTGTGTCTTCTATAGCAGTGGCACAAGTTGGTAAAAGCAAGCACAAACAAGTATTTATGTCATGTAAATTGCGAAATGTTATTTGAATAATGATGATCATATTTTCTGTTTTATTCAGGTTAGATGGCTTGCTAGTAGGACACGGGCTTTGTCAGCACTGAAAAAGAACTACGCTTCGATAGTGGCCCATCTTGAGCATGTTGCAGCGAGAAACTCGTCTGAAGAGTCAGCAAGGGCTAATGGGTATTTGCGGGGAATGACAACCATCAAATTTGTGACACTACTACATTCAATGGTGGATATCCTGGACATCACCTCTAGTTTATCAAAAGTCTTCCAACAGTCCAACCTGCTTATCTCAGAAGTCTACCCAGAAACAGAGATTCATTTACTGAAGCTAGAGGAACTAAAGCATAGACCTGGCCAGAACTTACAGGTAAGATAAGAAAAAAGAAAAGTATTTATTTTTCAATTATAATTTTTTATCTTTAATTCTTATAAAACCGGGCATCATAATCATTTTAAACCTATTAGTATTACTTAGGCAGCAATTGTTGAGAAAATTTGTCATTACAGTAAGAACTGTATAATGCATAAAACTGCTTTGTTGTGTGTAGAACTGTGTAACACATAAATCTGCTTTGTTGTGTGTAATACTATGTAACACATAAAACTGCTTTGTTGTGTGTAATACTATGTAACACATAAAACTGCTTTGTTGTGTGTAATACTATGTAACACATAAATCTGCTTTGTTGTGTGTAATACTATGTAACACATAAAACTGCTTTGTTGTGTGTAGAACTGTATACCACATAAAACTGCTTTGTTGTGATTAATTTAAAAACAACAAATTCGTTTTTTTCAGGCATTTAATAGCCAGTTCAATGAGGAGGAAAGGTGCCTACAGGGTGTAAAACTTTCTGGTGACCTGCCATCCAGTACTTTCACCCATGATATCATAGATGACCTTATCAAGTATATTGACAAAAGGTACTATAATAAGTATGCCCATTTCTCATTCATTCGTGCCTTCTCATACATTTCGTGCTTACAGAAAATACGCTCGTGCGCATCGCGTGCGTATCCGATTACTATGCATATAAATTAAGGCTTCTAGAATCCAAATATTTAGGTCAAATGTTACTATATTGCATAGGTCAGATACTCTATTAGGTTTTCCTGCAGTATCATTCCTAATCTGAACATGTTTTAGCATAAAATAATTGTCATAATTCCAGACTTCTCCTAGACATTGGCAGAAGAAATACAGAGCCTATTCAGCAGAATCATTATTAAATGCTTACAAGGCTGTTAAAGATCAAGGTGTAGCTGTTAAGAGAGCAGCTCTACAGTTTGGGATACCAGTACAAACTTTGAGAGACAGAGTTAAAGGTTACATTGACCCTGTTCATTTTAAGAAAACAAAGGAAACTTGTTTTAGAGATGATGAGGAACTGACCCTTGTTGAACATGTTGAGACCATGGCTGAGCTTGGGTATGGATATAGTAATACTCAGCTACAGCATGCTGCTGGTGAATTAGCATTTGACCTGGGGAAAAAGAGTACCAATAAACCACTTAGTAACAATTGGCTATATGGCTTTCTTAAAAGATGGCGTAACAGATTAAGTACATTGAAACCATCAAAACTTGACAGCAACCGTGCAAGGTCCACCACACCCGAATGTGTTAAGAAGTATTATGAAAACCTTGCTGCTATTTTTAATAAATATAACCTACACACAAAGCCACAAAACATTTATAACATTGATGAGACTGGGTTACAACCAGACCATAGACCACCTAATGTAATTGCTCCTACAAATAGTAAACCACAAGCTATAACTTCTCCAAGGTCTACAACTACTACATTGATTGGCTGTGCAAATGCAGCTGGTAATTCTCTGCCACCATATTTTGTATTTAAAGGAAAAAGATATAACCCTGACTTGATGAAAGGAGCTACAGTAGGCACAGGTTACTCAATGTCAGACAGTGGATGGTCAAATGCTGTCATCTTCAGAACATATCTTGAAGACCATTTCCTTCCACATGTGAGAGGTCAATTAAGTGTTGAGAACCCTGTACTAGTTCTGTATGATGGTCATGCCTCTCACATTAATGAACCACTGGTCAAATGGGCAAGAGAACAGAACATCATACTTTTTGTTCTCCCTGCACACACATCACATATACTGCAGCCCCTAGATGTTGGCATGTTTGGCCCACAAAAATCATTTTATTACACAGAATGTGCAATCTATATGAATAAACACATGGGTAAAACTATCACTCGATATGAAATCTGCCAGCTGGCTTGTAAGGCTTACTTGAAATCCATGACTCCAATCAATATATTGTCAGGTTTCAAGAAAACTGGAATATTTCCACTTTCTCCAGAAAAAGTACCTATGCAAAAGTTGCTTCCGTGTGAAAGTTTTAGAGAAAATAAGCCACTGCAAAAAGCAAAAGCACTGAAAGAAGGAAAACATGCTGTAGAGGAATTTTTCAAACAAAAGTATGAAAACCAAACAAATAATGATGAAAAAAATGAAAAATGTGAATGCATGAAAAAGGCTATAAAAACAAAACCTAAAGCAGGAGGGCAAGCAATAACAGAAGATGAATATTATAAAGAATTGGTTGAATATGAAAAAACAAAAACTACTAACACTAAAGAAGCAACAACATCAAAACAAAGCAAACAAAATAAATCCAATGATAAGTCCAATTATATGGACATTTCAATAACAATGCACAACCCAGTCCCTTCAACTAGTGGTGTCCGAAACACAAATCATTCTCTGAGGCAGGTCCTTTCAGAAGATTCTGAAATTGAATCTGATGTAAACGACGAAGAATTATGTTGTGTTTGTAAAAAGATCTCACCACCAAAGCTAAAAGATTTGCCATTTCTTAAAATAGTTAACTGGGCTCAATGTGATAAATGTGATCACTGGGTGCACCTTGCACTCTGTACAAATGTCCATGTAGTGAGGAGACACAGTACATTCCTGTGTCCACATTGTGAAGCATAGAAAGTCCATAGATAATGAAATAAACTGTTTATGTTCCTTGTTAAAGTTAACATTTTATTAACATAGTTTTCTTACCTTGTTAAATGAAATTTGAAAACATTTTGATTGATAGTTTACTTACCTTGTTAGAAGAAATCAGAAAACAACATTAAAAATGTTCATAAACACTACTGGCATGCGAGCAGTTCCCGTACAAAAATCATAGTTACTTAAACATTATTTTTTATTACGCTCACTCACCAAAATTTGAATGTTACACAGCAATATTCAGCTCGTCACACAAATCATGGAAATTCCATCATGTTCTAAACATAGAACAACCCTTAGTTATGAGGCCTCATATGGGGTACCGAAATTATCCATTATTTTGTATGAAGAGAAGTAGTTCCCGTACATAAAATCTAACCCATTATAATTATACAATTTTATTATATCGGACCTATTTTTCATTTACAATTGTTGAACAGACCATTATCTAAGAGATAAATAGATGTAATTCAGGAAATAGAGCGTAGACTAAACGCGGGTATCAATTACCCGGTACCGTTACCCCAACGCATTCACATGCAATAGCATGCTTGTATGCATGATATTTTACGCATCAAAGCCATAAAATTATTATATATAGTAATATTGGTCAACATTCTGATAATTAAACAAGTTTACATCACATTGCCTACTTATTTGTAAACAGGTGGTATTAGTGGAAAACCCTTTAACAAGCCTCACGTGTAAGTATTTTTGCGCATGCGCGCAAGGACGGAATCCCCCAGAGAAAACAAGGTCACGTTTTGACGACGCACAGGTGAAAGTGATTTAAAATGAGACTTTATATATACGTACTGCCGAACTGACACTTAGAATTTGTCTCGTTTATGTATCTGCTTGATTTGAAAATGAATTTTTGAAGAATGCAAGAAAAAATCAAGCGTTTAAATGAAAAATACGGGTACTGCTTCTGTACGGGAACTGCTCGCATGCCAGTAGTATGGATATGATTTTTAAAAGGCTGTTGTTCTATAGCAAGACACACCACTGACACAAGTTTTATGAATATATGCCAGTAAATGGACACTTTTTTAATTGAACTTAGTATACTGACCTTGGGGTTAAATAATACACCGTAACACGGAGGACCAATCAAAAAAGCACGAAATGTATGAGAAAGCGTTTGATAGATTCAGCCAATGGTCCCACAAGGCCTCCGCTTAAAACCGGCGTAAGTCACTTACAAAAGTAACTAAATAGTTCTTTCATGTCTTTATTCTGAATTTAAAATTTAATAATTCCCCAAAAATGAGAGAATTTGGATATATCATGATTGACCAAAAATAATTACTCTTTTGTGTTCCATAAACAATTTACTTGCGGCATGCGCGTAGATTTACCGCTTAAAGAGGCACGAATGGTTAGAAAAGGGCATATAAACGTTTCATTTTTTTCTATATTAGACATGCCAGGTTTACGAAAATATACCAATTACAATTGTATAAAAACAAAGATAGAGATGTGAATATTTATGGCGGATCAGTGAGTTTGTTAAGGTGCGCAGTGATTCGGGACGCAAAATCTGAATTCTAACTGCCTAGTGAGTGAATTAGTTAAGCGATTCTTGACTAAGCAACTTTATAAAAATCAAAGTACATCACATAATAAGGTTGATCAATATAAAACAAGAAACATGGCAATGCCATGAAACCAGGTTTTCAATTATCACCATTGTAGATAAATATGTTGTATTTGAAATACAAATACAAGCAACAAACAATGTAACTATGTGCAATGTAAAACATGAATAATGTAGGAGGAATTGCCACTGAAGAAGTGTTCACTATAATATTATGTATAAGGAAAAAAACAAAGGGCCATAATTAGGTCAAAAACTATCCAATCACAAAACCCCGACAATATGTGCCAGGGTGCTTGATGACAAAGCTTCTGTGAAAGTTTGAACAAAATCCGTTGAGAAATGTAGGACGAGTTCAGCACAGAAGAATTTGTTCACTATAATTATATTGATAATTCTGTATAATGAAAAACAAGTTACAAAGTAGACATGAAATAATATATCATATCTTTTTTAAATTACCTCCAAAGATGATATGACCTTTGACTGCCAAATCAAGTTAAAATCATGTAAACAGGATTTTCAATGTTAATGTCACTGTGACCTTGACGCCAGCCATGCGGAACATGCGTTCTGCACGTCATCTTGATGTGGTAAACATTTGTCTGAAGTTTCATCAAAATTCTTCAAAGGGTTGAAGAGTTACAGAGCGGACAGGATTTTCAATGTTAATGTCACTGTGACCTTGACCTTGGAGCCAGCCATGCGGAACATGCGTTCTGCACGTCATCTTGATGTGGTAAACATTTGTCTGAAGTTTCATCAAAATTCTTCAAAGGGTTGAAGAGTTACAGAGCGGACACAATTTCGTTTGACGCCCGCCCGCCCATCCGCCCAGCCGCCCATCCGCCCGCCATACCCCAATCTAATAACCAGGATTTTCAAAATTGAAAACCTGGTTAAAAAGGAAGTAATATGAAATGATATGTGGTAAAACATGTCAAGATGTAAAAATTAATGAAGTAACAAATGTTTCTGTTCCAGGTTTTCAAATTTCAATGAAGATCCATTGAAATGCTTTGCTGCCTTGAATTATAAGGCTATCCCACAGAACCGTACAGACTTGATGAGATTTGGAACTAAAGAGGTCGAACAACTGATCAGTCACATGCCCCAACTTTTCCCCATAGAGTCCCATAGATCAGTATTGAATGAATACATGGATTTGAAGGTTTACATGAGAGAGATGAATCAAACAGGCCAGGAGCCAAGTGAGGTTTACAAGATTCTCTTAAATAAACAAAACATTCCAAACGTGAAAAAACTCTTACAGATAATGTTAATTGTGAGCCCTACCACTGCACAGTGTGAATGTGGCTTCTCTGCCATGAAACAGTTGAAAACACAATTGAGAAATTGCTTGAAACAGGACACTCTACAAATGCTCATGACTATTCAACAGCATGGCCCTTCACTAGAGGACTTTTGTTCTGAGAAAGCCATCAACCACTGGTTGACCTGTGGCAAAGGCTCTAGACATGTGAATGGACATTCAAAGAAATTCTTGGTTACAAAACTATAAAACCCCTGAAAGACTTTATAACCAGGCACAGGCATCATGGTTACTTAACCAAACAATGAAGACAATGTTTAAAGTCATTGTTACAAGACATGACATTGAATGAATATATGTACAATCAATCTGTTCAATTCAATATAGATATAAGTGTATGTGTGAAATGTATATCTCTGCTCTGTTACCATTATACATTGATGCATTGTAATTAAGAATAAGGAAATGTAAATATCTGTTATGTAAACATTATTTATTGAATATTTAAGGAAATGTAAATGTCTATTTTATAAATTTTTATTCATAAAAGAAAAGTTCTTGAAAGCATTTTCTAGTTAGTAATAAAATTAAAGGAAATGTAAATATCTGTTCTGTAAGTTGATCTATCTAGTTATCAACATTAAGGAAATTTAATTTCCCCTTCTGTTAACATTATTTATTCAATAGTAATGTTTTAAGGTTATGTATATATTTGTTCTGATAGTTTTATTGTTTTTAAGATGAAGGAGATTTATATATATACTTTTCTGTTTTGTTGACATCACTTCATTCGACAGTTAAGTGTAAGGTTAGGAAATGAAATATATAAGGAAAGCTTAACACATATCTAAATTTGTGCTAAGCATTTTCTTGATAAACAGAGAAAATGTGATATGGCTGTAAAAGTGAACATAAATCATGCAAGCAAATGTTAATTTTTATTATAAATAAAAAGCAAATTAGAAATTGATTTTGTTCTTTCCTTGTATATAGTGCACACAAACATCGTTGAAATTTTTACACTTGAGACAAGGACATCTCTGATCAATTTTGGGACAACTCTATTTTGCCAGGTCACTTGTCCTGGACAACTCTATTGAAAAAAAGTTTGTAGAGCCCTGGTACACTTTTATATGTACATGCATATAAAATATACATGTATATGGCACGGAAAATAAACAAATGTGTATTTGAAAATCGCTATGATGATATTTAATGAAGAACTAGTTGCTCAATAAAGTTTATTTAAGCATTTGATTTACATCAACACAACATTACATCAACACAACATTTTTTTATCGTTTTTTAGGTTCAACTGTTTCTGACTCTTTTAAATGCAATTAATTAAGAAGAAAAGTTCTTTAATTCAAAATAATTATCAATTTACATCAGTTTTAATGATGAATATTACTATCATAAACGTAATGATGATAACAAGAATCTAAATGGACCGGCAAATGTACATGGGACATCGTAAATCAAACGGGACATATAGAGGAAATTGTAAATCAAACAGAATGTTTAGGGAATATTGTAAATCAAACAAAACTTACAGTGGATAATGTAAATAAGACACAAATATATGTTTGAGGTAACTTTATTATCAATTAGCTAGCTTTTTATCATCTGCTGCATTCATATGATATCAGGATCTTACACAGCTTTAATTTACCCGAAAATTTAATGTATAATCAATGCGCTATAATAGCCTATTTTTAGCGATGTAGATTTCCAAGTGTGAATTCCAAATGTCGCTTTCAACGCTTCAGCGCATGTGCTAATTACGTCAGATTACACAATTAAATCTGCCTCCAGGAAGTATTATCGAGTGGAGAAATATACATGTCAGACATTTCATAGAGATTTTAGGGCGACTAGAATTTCGCTTTTCTGATCATATAGGGCGAAGTGAAAATATTTACGGCGAAGTTTTCGCCTATCTTCGCCCTGAACGCAGTCCCTGCAGGGGTATAACATAATATAAGCAAATTTTTTAGGACATATAATTAATGTACTCAATATAAGTGGTCATCCCATGAAGTTTGACAGTTGTACACTGTAAGCCAAATGAAACTTGTGTTATGCTCCAAAAACCACAATTTGAAGTGTTAAGTTCGTTGTGACCCTGACCTTATGACCCTAAAATCAATAGGGGTCATGTATTGGACATGGCTGTTCATCCTATAAAATTTTACAGCTGTAGGTTGATCAATACTACAATAGGGTTCTTCTACTTAATATGGACAATCATCCTATGAAGTTTGAATATTGTGGGCCAAATGGAACTTAAGTTATGCTTCGGAAACCAAATGACTAACGGACGGACAGTCATTCAACCAAATAGTGACAAGAAACATGGCAATGCCACGAAACCAGGTTTTCAATTATCACCATTGTAGATAAATATGTTGTATTTGAAATACAAATACAAGCAACAAACAATGTAACTATGTGCAATGTAAAACATGAATAATGTAGGAGGAATTGCCACAGAAGAAAATTTTTACTGTGTTCACTATATATTCTGTATAAGGAAAAAAAACAAAAAGCCATAATTAGGTAAACAAGAGCCACCGCCGGGCGGGGGCAACGCTCGACTTTTTACTTTTCTAAAAGCAAACATAGAAAGGTTTGAACATATCTTAACGTTTCCTTTTTATAAATTTAGCTGGTCTGTCTTGTCACATGAATAGAAACTCGCAATTCTATAAATAGAAACACGCAATTCTATAAATAGAAAAAGGCAATTCAATAAAAAGAAAGACGCAATTCTATAAATAGAAACACGCAATTCTATAAAAAGTAACACACAATTCTTTAAATAGAAACACGCAATTCTAAAAATAGTAACACGCAATTCTAAAAATAGCACAATTTTATAAATAGCAACAAGCAATTCTATAAATAGTAACGGGCAATTCTATAAATAGAAACACGCAATTCTAAAATTAGTAACACGCAATTCTAAAAATAGAAACACTCAATTCTATAAATAGAAACACGCAATTCTATAAATAGTAACACGCAATTCTATAAATAGTAACACGCAATTCTATAAAAAGTAACACACAATTCTATAAATAGAAACACGCAATTCTTAAAATAGAAACATGCAATTCTATAAATAGAAACACGCAATTCTAAAAATAGTAACACACAATTCTATATATAGTAACACGTAATTCTATAAAAAGTAACACGCAATTCAATTAATAGTAACACGCAATTCTAAAAATAGAAACATGCAATTCTAAAAATAGTAACACGCAATTCTATTAATAGAAACACGCAATTCTATCAATAGTAACATGCAATTCTAAAAATAGTAACACGCAATTCTAAAAATAATAACACGCAATTCTATAAATAGAAACAAGCAATTCTAAAAATAGTAACACGCAATTCTAAAAATAGTATCATGCAATTCTAAAAATAGAAACACGCAATTCTATAAATAGTAACATACAATTATAAAAATAGAAACACGCAATTCTAAAAATAGAAACACGCAATTCTAAAAATAGTAACACGCAATTCTAAAAATAGTAACAAGCAATTTCTATAAATAGTAACACCCAATTTCTAAAAATAGAAACACGCAATTCTAAAAATAGAAACACGCAATTCTATAAATAGTAACACGCAATTCTAAAAATAGTATCATACAATTCTAAAAATAGAAACACGCAATTCTATAAATAGTAACACACAATTCTAAAAATAGAAACACGCAATTCTAAAAATAGAAACACGCAATTCTAAAAATAGTAACACTCAATTCTATAAAGAGAACATGCAATTCTAAAAATAGAAACACGCAATTCTTCAAATAGAAACACGTAATTCTAAAAATAGAAACACGCAATTCTATAAATAGTAACACGCAATTCTACAAAAAGTATCATGCAATACTAAAAATAGAAACACGCAATTCTATAAATAGAAACACGTAATTCTAAAAATAGAAACACGCAATTCTATTAATAGTAACACGCAATTTCTAAAAATAGAAACACGCAAATCTAAAAATAGAAACACGCAATTCTATAAATAGTAACACGCAATTCTAAAAAAAGTATCATACAATTCTAAAAATAGAAACACGTAATTCTATAAATAGTAACACACAATTCTAAAAATAGAAACACGCAATTCTAAAAATAGAAACACGCAATTCTAAAAATGGAAACACGCAATTCTATAAATAGAAACACTCAATTCTATAAATAGAAACACGCAATTCTATAAATAGTAACACGCAATTTCTAAAAATAGAAACACGCAATTCTAAAAATAGAAACACGTAATTCTAAAAATAGAAACACGCAATTCTAAAAATAGTAACAAACATTTCTATAAATAGTAACACGCAATTCCATAAATAGTAACACGCAATTTCTAAAAATAGAAACACGTAATTCTATAAATAGTAACACACAATTCTAAAAAAAGAAACACACAATTCTAAAAATAGAAACACGAAATTCTATAAATAGTAACATGCAATTCTATAAATAGTAACACGCGATTCTATAAATAAAAGCACGCAATTCTAAAAATAGAAACACGCAATATACGTTGTTGTTGTTGATGATGATGATGATGATGATGATGATGATAGATATGTATGTATATATATATATATACACACACACACACCAATAAATATATAATTATGATCATTTAATCTGAGAAAATTCAGTAATTTAAACTTCAAGGTCAAGGTCATTAAAGAGCCCAAGCAAATTTGGGTTTGATAAACAATAAGGTCTGGTCCTTAAGAATGTTCTGTTATAATATAAAGTTGATCCCTTCAATAATAGCAAAGTTACAGTCAGTTACAGCCAAAACAATGAAAATTTCAATAATTTGACCTTCAAAGACAATGCCATTAATGAGTGAAGGTCAAGGTCCATCGGGTTATTTTTAAGAGTTATCTTTGAAGATTATTATGTTAAAGTTTCAAGACAATCCATTCAAAAATAACAAAGTGACAGCCAATAATAGCCAAAAAAATGAATATTTCAATAATTTGACCATCAAAGTCAAGGTCATTTATGAGTGAAGGTCAAGGTCTGTCTGGTTATTTTTAAGGGATATCCTTGAAGATTATTATGTTCAAGTTTGAAGACAATCCATTCATAAATAACAAAGTTACAGCCAATAATAGCCAAAAATATGAAAATTTCAATAATTTGACCTTCAAAGTCAAGGTCATTTATGAGTGAAGGTCAAGGTCTGTCTGGTTATTTTTAAGGAATATCCTTGAAGATTATTATGTTCAAGTTTGAAGACAATTCATTCAAAAATAACAAAGTTACAGCCAATAACAACATGAAGATTTTAACCTTGAAGGTCAAGGTCATTTATGGATGAAGGTCAAGGTTAGTGTGGTCTACTGAAAGGTCTTGTCCCAAGGGTTGTTGTGGCCAAGTATGAAGACAATACACCAAGAAATAACAAGGAACATCGCAATGCGATGCAACCAGGTTTTCAGCAAAATATTTCACAGAAGCTTTGTCATGAAGGGGCATTTGTTTTTAATTGAACTTTTAGGCCACTTCTTTTTTTTTTCTTGGTTTACAAATTTTTTTTTCAAAAATGTCCACTGGGTGGTCGAAAAAAAAAAAAAAAAAAAACCTCAAAAAGGTCCATCGGGTATATAAAATACAATTTAACAATATACTAGCAAATATATCGTAAATCAAACCATTAAATCTTCTCGAGGAAGGATACGGCTTATAGCCGTGCCGATGTCCTCATCAACGGCAGCCTTTAAAAAAGCCCGTCTGGTTGGCAAATCTTTAATTCCAACAAAATCAACTTGGAAATAAACAGTGCCGCTCAAGGGCGCCGTCATTGTTGTTTTACCATGAACTGTGGTAGTTATCCGAGGTAGTCCGAATGTTGTGTTGTATAGATTCGTACTCAAAAATATTTGAATTTTCGTACTCATATTTATCGCGCTTATCGGATAATTTTTTTTGCATCGGGGGAAAAAAAAGTGGAAATTTCAGTTTTATTTTTTTTCCAATTTACAAATATTTCGGGTCGCCGGTTTTGTAAACCAAGAAATATAAAAGAAGTGGCCTTAGGAGGAATTATGGCTTTTTTAATATTCCTCAAACAAAAATGATTGAGAAATTTTATGTTGTCTATTCGCCTTTTTTTCCCAAATGTTTTAGAAAGGTAAACAGTACTTTATTTTTGCTTAATTTTTGCATTTTTGCGTCTCTTGTCATTTTCTTTTGTCAACAATATTGGCGTGTGGTGTTTTGTGCGATATCAAGAAAAGTATGTTCACAATTTTAAAAAAATACTT